TAGATGAGGAACAAGCCAGGAAGCCGGCGAAGGAAGAGCGTTTATATGCTGTTTGAACAGCTCAGCAGAAAAGGCCAGCCGTCATGAATGGTTCTGTGTGTGACTTTTGGAGGAAAAGAAGAGGGCAGCCAGCATGAAAACCGGGGCTGTCCGTTTTGGAAAAATTGACCCGCAGCGTTGATGAGGAAAGAAGAAGGCCGATGGCCAAAGAACAGCTTTTATAAATCTATCAAAATGCCCAGCGGAGACAGACAGATCATACGTTTGCCGATGTTGTGTTTTTGGAGGGACAAAAGAAGACAGCAGCCAACATGTTAAGCAGTCGCAGAAATTTTGGAAAAGCTCACAAAGAGCGTGAATGAGGAAAGACCAAGCAAGCCGGCAGAAGAAGAGCTTTTATACACCTCTCGCACAGCTCAGCGCCGGAGACAGGCAGATCATAGAAAGCATTTCATGTCGTTTCGGTATGTGGCAAACACCACGTCCTCTCCCGCCATGTTCTTGTCGTATGTTGCATTTTAAGAGTACATCGGTGGCTTTTTGACAAGGCCACAGCAGACAGCACCAGACTCATATCGTGTTTGCCTGTTCTTTTTGAACATCCCGTACATGCTCAGCGGTTTATGTGAAAGAATTGACCCCGCAGAAGAAGACATGGCGCGATTTTCAGCGAATTTAGAAAAGCCACGCCGGCACAGACATGGCGCATTCTGCTCTTTGTTTTGGTAAAGCACCCAGAAGGATGTGGATTGAAGGAGGGAAGCAGAGGTATCGAGGTAGGACTTTTATACCCGCCTCTTTCAACGTGCTCATGATGTACATAGTCGGCGGTTTTTGAAACATGGCAAGTTTTCCTAGGATTTTTAGATGAAAGGCGTCGTCTCGCGAGCAAAGACATGAGATATCTGTTGTGTTTTTTTGAAAAAAGTCTCGCCGGCGCAGGCATGATTTCTTGCTGTCCCAGTTTTGGTGAAACTATCCAAGAGGTGTGTTGTGAAGGAGAGAAGCAGAGGCGACAACATGAGACCTTTATACCCGCCCCTCTCGAGATGCTCATCAAGTCTTCCTGTTCGGATTTTCGAACATGTAACGAAGCGTTTGCGCATTATGTATAGAAGGCGCCGTCTCTCAGACAAAGACATGTAGAGCTTCAACAGCTAGTTTTGGAAAAGGTCTTGCCGGCGCAGACATGTTGACAGCTCCAGTCTTTTGGTAAAACATCTAGAAGGATGTGTGTTGAAGGAAGGAACCTTGGAAGGAAGGAAGCAGCGGCCGGGTGAGACTTTTATTCCCGCTCTCTAAACATCCGCGCTTGCGCAGCCAGTTCTCATCATCTTCTCTGGATTGGTATTCGAGAGCCAGAATCATGTGTCATACGTAATCTTGATTTGAGACGCGTAAAGCCAGCCATGGCTCAAATATCTTCCTGTTTTGAAGAGGTAGGTTTTCGTCGACGGAGAGGCAGACATTTGTGGTTTGTCTTCTGATTTGTGGGAGGAGACATCATTCACATGGCTGCTGGTTTGAGTATTTGGGAACGTCCCTCAGGCACAGAAACATAAGTTGGTAGAAGTAACTTTTTAGAAGGGCGAAGCCAGCCATGATTGGTATACTGGGTGCTTTCGATGGCGTGATATTCCGTATCAAGAACTGGGAGGCAGGGATGTAAGATAAGCGCGAAGGAGTGCGGAGGGAGACATTGTCTGTCCCTGACCGTTTTTGAGTAGTTTGCGGAAAATCTCAGATCCAGAAACATGCGTATGCGGGTCTGATGTTTTGAAAAGGCGAAACCAGCCATGGGTTGGCTTTCTATGTTTTTGGACGATAGCGGAGGAAGAAGGAGAAGCAACCGGTATGCTGTTTAAACATGCTGAATCCAGAGGAGACATCACAGACCGCGATATGGTATTATGAGTAGTCGGCGGAGACACTCAGTCCCAGAACCATGGGCTTGAGTGATCGAGTTTTGAGAAGCGCAAAGCCAGCCATGAAAGACGTTTCTGAGGCTTTTGGGAGTACCAGATTGGAAAGAAGAAGCAACAGTCATGAAGCCTGCTGTAGCACTTTTCCAGAAGAAACATGGTTGTACCCACCTAGCTCTTTTAGGTAATAGGAAAACGGCGGGAACAGCGGGAGACATCCAACATCCGGTTGTTGTTTTATGGATTGGGTGCTGGAGGGACGAGCCAGCCATCACCGGCGGCGATTTTCTTTTTAATAAGACCGGAAGTCGAGGGAAGAGAGACATGGAAGATAAGTGGTTGGAATTCGGTAGGCAGACATTTTGAGTCGATTTGCCCTTTTTGAGTCGCCAGCCAGAAGAAAGCAGCGGACATTTCCAGACCTTGAGGCGCATTCCAGTAAAAGGGTGCTCAGCGGAACAGACATGCGGGGCGATTCCCGGAGTTTTGGGTACTCGGAGAGTTGGGGAAGAGGCGGAAAGAACGCCAGCCATGGACGCATCGGATTATGGTTTTAGAGAGATGCTCGACGAACAAGCCATACTACGTTTTTGTACCATTTTCGGTATTCCAAGTAGTAGTCGAAGAGGCGAGGAAGAAACCAGTCATTACAATAGAACCAGAGTCATTTTAGAAGAAGTGCTCGACGAACGCGCCATACCGCGAACACCGAGTTGTTTTTAATATTCCGAGAGATATTCGAAGAAGCGGGAAAGACGGACGACATAAGGCGCTGTCCTATAGCTTTTGGAAGAGGTGCTCGCCAGCCGCACCATCCACATCCTTATCTTATCTTTTGATAATTCCTCAAGCTGGCGAAGAGGCGAGGAGAACGCCAGTCATGACAGTATCCTCTGGCAATTTTCGAAGGAGTCCTCGACGAATGCTACATCGGTATCTTCCCCGTGTGTTTTGAGAAACCCGAGTTGCCGACGAGAGACAGGAAGAGCACCAGTCATACCCAGTGGTAGATGTAGCTTTGGAAGAAGTGCTCGACGAGCGCACATGTACATCTTGATATGCTATTTTGGTATTTTGAAAGTAGGAGTAGGGTCGTAGTCGTACTCGGCGGAGAGGCGGGAAGGACGGCGGACATCTAGAAGAGGAAACGATGTTTTGGAAGAAGTGCTCGACGGAGGAGTCATTCCATTGTTCCTTTTGTAGTTTTGGAGGACAGACGACGTAGTAGGGTAGTAGTCGAAGGAAGAGGAACCGAGGGAAGACATGACCGGAAACGTGTGTGGTTTTTGGAAAAGTGCCCGAAGGACGAGACATGGGGGTTCAGGCCAGAATTTTGGAATTTTGGAAATAAGAAGTAAGATGATGAAGAAAGGAGTGAGGACAGCTGAGCGAGGTTTAGATACGCCTCAGAAAGACGAGACGGAGCAAAATTCATCACATGGTCACATGCGCAAAGCGTCCAATCCGCACCCACGCAAACCAAATCCATTTCATTCGCACCCCACTAATGAACCATAGTCTCCAACGTCCCAACCGGCCTCTCAACAATATCAATACACCCATCCACAATACTCTTCCTCGCCGGCTCACTACTAACATTCTGTCCACCCAGATACAGCAACCAAACCAGTCTCCCCACCCTCTCATCCTTGACCTCACCCAACCAACTGCTCTTCCCCATAGTCTCCTGCTTATCCCCCTTTTGTACAAGCGGCTGGTACAGCGCACCCAGACTACCGCTCTTATCCCTCGTCAGAATAATGACAGAGCCCTTAGGCGCCTTACCCTTGCCCTGGAACAAGTTGCGGAACTCTTTCATCGCAACACCGAAAGATTCGTCTTGGAATTCCCCTTCCTCGACAGGCTTGGGTAGGGATATGGACTTGTTTTCTGCAGCTTGTTGGCGGAGGAGCTCGGCTTGCTTGCGTCGGACTTCGTCGGTGCGCGAGGCGATGCCGCGCATCCAGCCGTCTTGGAGGTGCTTGAAATCTGTGCCGCGGCAGGGGACGACACGGAAGGCCATGTCGACGCCTGCAGTGCCATCCTTAGCCAGTATCGACTCCCAGATCTTGTTGCTCTTCTCGGGGTCGAGGAGGGCTTCGCGGAGGTCTTTCTTTTCGTTGGGGATGAGGGCCGAGGCGGTGGGGTTTACGGTGTTGATGAGGTGGTTTTGGAGGGTGGATAGGTGGGCGGTCTTGACGTAGAGGCCTACGACGTAGACTTGGACGCGCAGGAAGGAGACTTTGCGGATGCCTAGACCAAGCAATGTGTATTCTGCGTCGCTGGTGATGGCTTCGGAGCCGGCGGTGTCGGTGGGGAGGCGGATGGTGCGCGGGAAGTAGGGGACGTAGGAGGTGCCTGTCTCGACGAGCTCGATGGCGTCAGGATCGGATGCTTGGGGGTTGTCGGTGTCACCTGTTGTAGCAATCACCTTGTCGCCGGCTGCGATAACGACCTTCTTGCCCTGGAACTCCTCTGCTGCTTTGCGCGGTGCGTCGCACTTGGTGGGCGGGCCCATGATCATGTCGAATATGCCGCGACTTGGCTTCTCATCTTTCTCCCCGGGCGGCGGCACATCCCATAACCGGACGAGGAAGATGGGGGCGATCATGGAGAGCGCAGCACCGAGAGCCAGCCAATTCCGCCTCTTTATCAACTGCGCACGGCGCATGGCCTCGGCGCGGTGTACGGAGACGAAGTCTTCATCTGGGCGAGGGACCTTGGGACGGGCGCCCTGCTTGAGAATGGCGTCGAAGTCTGCTCTGCTGGAGCGCGAGCCCTGTCGGAATTGGGGTTTGGAGCGAAGGGGTGCGGGTGTGTTGAGGCAGCGGAATATGGGCCGTCGCGCGGCAAATCGTATGGAGTTCATGGTGGCTGCATTGGCTGGGGTAAGTCACGATGGGCGGATTGAGACTTGCAATGCGGAGGAGCAGCTCGGACCATGTCTCGATGATGTCGTCGCCGGCCCGGAAGCGAGCACCTTAGCGCGGCTTTCACCGAGGCGCGTCGCGTCAGCCCTACGCGGTAATTCTGCGATAGATCGAGTCTACCCCACGCCTCAGTCACTTACCACACACGATGCCTCCACGAAGATCACGTCAGGTGGCAACTCAAGCATCCTCGCCAGTGCCAATACAGTCACAACGACGGAGGCGAGATGACACCCCCGAAGATGAAGATATCGACATGGAGGACGCTATCAGAGAGGCGCAGGGCAGCGGCAGCGTTGATCAGCTAGCAAAGGGACTGGTGCGCTATGCCTTGTCGTGTGAGCATTCACGGAAGCCAATAAAGCGCGCCGACATCAACGAGAAGGGTGAGTATATTGGAGTTCTATATGACTCGAGACTAACAGTTGCAGTCCTGGGCTCCTATACTCGCCTGTTCAAGGACGTCTTTTCACAAGCGAACAGCCAGCTCATGGACGTCTTTGGGATGCAGTTCGTCGAGCTGCCGAAAGCGGACAAGGTCACGCTGCGACAGAAGCGCGGTATGTATCCTGTCTTACTATGATGTGTGTGATCTAACATGTCCAGCGGCCGCCGGCTCGGAATCCCAAAGCAAGTCGACCGGCATATGGGTCCTCCAGACTACCCTACCCGAGCAGTACCGCATACCAGACATCATCGGCCCCTCGCGACCATTAGCAGCCGACTCGGAAGAGATAAATCGAGAAGACTCGTACGTCGGGCTGTACACAATGGCTATCGCCCTCATCATTGTATCCGGCGGTATAATCCCAGAAGGCAAGCTAGACCGTGCTCTCAGGCGCATGAACGCAGACCAGACGACGCCTGTTGGTACCAAAGACAAGACGCTTGCGAACATGGTCAAAGACGGGTATATTGTCAAGATCAAAGAGACACCGGGCGGGGGCGAGGAGACGATCGACTACATAGTCGGGCCTCGCGGCAAGGTCGAGGTTGGACGAGAGGGCGTCGCGCAGTTTATACGGATGATGTTTGGGGAAAGTGAGGACGTGGAGGAGCTGGAGAAGAAGTTGCAGCGGACACTGCAGGTGGCGGACGCCCTCAGTGACAGTGCGCCGGTCGAGGCGACTCAAGGTGCATCGCAGGCGGCAGGGCGCAAACGCGGGCGGCCGAGGAACGACGACGACGAGTAGTCTTTTGGATGATATATGGATAGAGACGCCTATGATACCCTATGTAGTTATGTCATGCTCTTTACTGGGACAAACGTCATGTTGAGTGATGCTAGCTCGGAGCTCCCCTCAAGGGACCCAGTTGTCGAGTTGCATCATCGGCGGCAAGCGCCAAAGAGCTGCGGGCAGCCGTCACAACAAAGACACGAAGACCCGCGGCGAGGAAGGCGATAATGAGGCACATGTAGTGGCTTGCCATTTGTCAGCGTCACGAGGGACGTCGCGCTGGTAGGTGTGCGGTAATAGGTGGCAGGCGCAGTGGTAGCAGGCGGTCGAGCAATGCCTGCATGCTGTCAAGGCTCACGCAGCTTCGCCCGCCCCTCAAGCGCTTCTGCGCGCCAAGCTGATTGAAACGGCTCTATTTTCCACACCACCCGCCCTTTCTCCTCTCGCTCGCCTCGAATCTGCTCGCTCTTGTGTCCTCGACATTCCCTCCATCCCCTCCATCCCCTCTATCCCGCCCCGACATGCCCGCTTAGGAAGACCGCCAGCCACAATGAGCAGCATCGACTCCCTCCTCAACCCCGACGCCGGCCTGCAGCGCCGCCCGTCTGCCTCCACCACGACCGAAGACGCTGCCGATGCCCTGACGACGCTGGCGACGCTGGGCAGTGGCCAGCAGTTCGTGCCCGCCCCGACGCGCGAGCTGCCCTCGCCCACGGCCTCGTCCCACGCGCCGCGACGCACCAGCAGCTTCGGCTCCCACCACGCGCCCGTCGAGCCATCGCCACCCCTCGACGAGCCCCAGGTGCACTCGCCGACGCTGGAGCACTATCACCATGGCTCCAATTCGCCCGAGGAGCAGAAGCGCCGCCAGTCGCTGCTGTCGAGAACCTCGCCCGCCCCAGTGCTCGCGCCAATACAAAATTTGTCCTCGGCCCTGCAAGAGCAGACTCAGGACGCCCCCATTGGCCAGGACGTGTCGCAGGTACTTACATCGGACGACGGCGAACGAGACAGCACACAGAACCGCGAACCTGCATTCACGCGCGACGAGCCCACCACCTCCCAGATCCGAGAGCCCGCAGCCAGCACCCTCCAGCCTGATTCACACAATGGAAACGCTACTCTGCCTTCGCCTCAGCCTTTCATCAAGGACGAGCCCTCTGGAACACCGCGCGAACACACACCTGCAATCACCGCCTCCCAGACTGAGCGACAGAGTTCCGTGACGGGCGAGAACATGGACGCCGACACACTCAAGGCGCTCGAGATCGCCAAGCAGAGCGACCTTGGACTGCGGAGACGGAACCAGAGCGCGGCAGAGAGCGCACCATCACCAGTCGAGTCCAAGCCAGCACCTGCCCCGACCAAGAAGCGACCAGCGCCATCGTCCGCCTCCGCCATCAAGAAGAAGGGCACCGCGAAGACGTCCAAGCCGAGTAAGAAGCGCAAGGTCGAGACGGAAGATGGCGCGCGCTCCGTTACGCCTACCTCGCGGATACCCAAGTCGGCGGGCAGCAGGGCGATGAAGAAAGGCTCGCACGCCGGCACACCTGTCCCTGGATCCTCGCCCGCCCCAGGTCACGAACACGCCACCGACGACGACGGCGAATCATCCGAAGACCACAACCTCTACTGCATATGCAAGAAGCCCGACAACCACAAATGGATGATTGGATGCGATGGCGGATGCGACGACTGGTTCCATGGCGACTGCGTAAACATGAGGCAGGTGGACGAGGAACTGGTCGACAAGTTCATATGTCCGCAATGCGAGGAGAACGGCAAGGGCAACACAACATGGAAGCCAATGTGCAGGCGGGACGGTTGTCGGAAACCTGCGCGACTCAACCACGGCAGGGAGAGCAAGTACTGCTCGGATGACTGCGGAGTTCTCTTCATGCAAGAACAACTAAAACGGACAGCAGGTGCCAAGGGCGCCAACGGGACGAAGGAAAAGTCCAAGAAGAAGAAGAAGCCTGCGGAGAGTGAAGGCGCAGAGGAAGAAGAACCGACACCACTCGGAGGCACACTACGAGCCAAGGACCTCAAAGCCCTCGTCGACGCATCGCCAAATATCCAAGCCTTCAAGAACCTCGGAACCGGCGTCCTCACACCCCCACAAACCGCCTCCCCATCGCGCGCTACGTTCCCCTCCAACGGCGAAGACCTCGCTCTCACCGCCGGTGAGATCGAACGTCTAACCGCCCTACACAAAGAGAAGACACAGCTAAAAGACCGCCTCGAAGTCCTCAAAGACCGCGAGAAGTTCGTCAGCATGGCCAAAGAACAAGCTGTCCGCCTCGCCGACCGCGAGAAAGTCAAAGCGAAAGACTTCTGCGGCTACGACTCGCGGCTCTCCTGGTCCGACGCTGAATTCCTCCTCTGGCGCAACAGCAAACACGGTCGTGCTGCCTTCCACCACTCTACCCTCAATCCCACCCCAGAACAGATCTCCTCCACGCCCACGCCCGCGACGAACGGCACCGACGCAATGGACATTGATGTCGATGACAAGGAAACCGCGTGCCTCAAGAAGCGCTGCCAGAAACATCCCCAATGGCAGAAGTTGAATCTGCAAGATGCACGCTTTGAAGAACTGGAGGTTGTGGAGGCGATTAAAGAGTGCGAGAAAGATGAGCGCAGTGTGAGGGACAGGGCGAGGCGGAGGGGCGCAAAAGATGGGCTGGCAAAGGAATTGACGGCTGGTGAGGATGGGAGTAAAGTCGAGAGGAATAGGGAGGGGTGGGTTGAGGTTGTTGCGTCATGACAGCACTCTCGGCTTCATAAAGGATAGCCACTTGTGGCTTTGTGTTGAAAGGATGAAGAAAAAGCTTGGATAAAAGGCATTGGATATATACCCCCATTCCTTTGGACGCGTTACCTACCGCGTACACTCTGAGTATTTGGGCGTTACTGGGCTACGGAAAATAAGCGATATATGCTGCTGTCTTTGGAGCTATATGCTAGGATAGCGGGTTTTCATCTTCTTTGCCGGTCTTGTTATGAGAGGCTTGGGTATGTGCAAGGATATAGTGAGTTAGTATGGTTTAATGACTATTTTACCTTCTATCCTACGCAGTTCTGTCCTGTTCTTGTGTGAGTGAGGGGTGTTTTGGAGGGCGTGAGGTGGCTGGGATGAGGGGAGTTGGAGTGGAGGGGTGGTGATATGGGCCGGTGGCGGCGTATAAATACCTCGCTCGTTGCCTTTCTTCCTTGCTTTCTACATCACACTTCCATTTCTCATTTCCAAAATAGACTCCCATCCATGTAATGGCGCTGTCCAAAAACCAATGACATCGGGGTCATGTTCTTCCCTTCGCTCCTCCTGAGTCTTTCCAAAAACTTCACTTCAACAACTCTATGGTGTCGTGGCAGTACTCCCGCGCATTACTGCAGTACGACGTTTTCTTCAAAATCACGCAGTTCAGACTTGTATGAGCGGCGGAGCTGGAGTTGGGATATAAAAACTACTTTTTGGCTCCTGGACGTTGACTTCTACACAAACATTTCAGTCTTCGCTTTTTCAAAACTTCTGTGGACTCCAGAGCATGGAAAGTCCGAAAAAAAAGGGGCGTCACTGTTATGAGACTGATCTTCCGCCTTCTCCTTAAAAACTATTCCTACGTCCGCATGTCTGCCTTCGCTGTTTCAAAATTAGAAACAAGATGATTGATGGAGATCGAAAACCGAGATCTGGTCAAACATGGGGCCGCTGTCAATCCTCCTTCCAGGCATAAAAATCGTCCTCCTGCTGACTGGAGTGTGACTTCTTACATCTACATTCTGTTCTTTACTTTTCCAAAAGAACCACATATCCGACCTATGGAGATCAAAACTCGAAGGCCTGCCACTTACGTGACGTTGCCTTCCTTCCCTCCTTTCTGCATACAAAGAACCTCTCCCGGATTAACCATCCACTTCTAAACACAGATCCGAATCTGCGTTTTATCTAAAACTACCATGCAGATTGCGATGGAGATCAAAAACCCTGCAATACACGCTCATGGTGTGACAGCTTGCCGTCCTCCGAGTCGACTATAAATTCATTCACAAAGAGCCTATGTCTGTTTTCTCTCTAACGTTACAGTCTTCACTTCCCAAAACCCGTACTAATGAGTTCCATGGGAGTTCGAAAAATGTATGGAGATCGTACATGTTGTGCGTCTGCCTCTCGTTCCTCAGCTTGGAGTAGCCTCAAAGGAACTTCATTATGCTGCATGTCGCGGTCTTCGCTGTCCAAAAATGTTGCATCCGAATCCTCATGATCGGAGTCGGATACCAGCACCGCAATATCGCATGTTGTGCGCCTGCCCGCAACATCTCTGGGCCTGCATAAATTTTCCTCCTGGCGGCTGGATGTCTTCTTCCTTATCAACATCCGTTTCCGTGCTTTACAAAAGAACTATGTACGATGTCCTGATGAGAACTCGAAAAATTCCGGAACTGCAAGAACATGTTGAGAGCTTCCTGTTCTCGGCCCGGTCGCGTATAAAGCCGCCTCTTTCTGGTAACAAGAGCTTTACTTCTACGCCAACCTTCTAAGTTGGATTTATTAAAAAGTGCCTAGAGATATCTTATGGGAACCAAAAATGGGAAACTATCAGTGCATGACTGTGCCTGCGCCTTCTCTCTCGGTTGTCAAAAAAGATTAGCCATACAGTTTACATGACTGGATTTCCACCTCAACACTAATAATCTACCCTCCATCGGCCTAAAACTATGGAAAAACTCAGTATAGACATTCAAAAACACAGAGACCGAAAAGATGTTCTGTGTCTGCGGCTTCTCTCTGCGCGGATGTATAAAAGCTGCCTTTATTGCCGCGACTAATTCTACACTCTAATGCTACTCTTCATGCTTACGTTTCTCAAAAGCTATGCATTATGGCTTGTGGAGAATTTGAAAAAACACTTGAGAACCTTCCTATGCTGTGTGCCTCTGCTTCCTCCCTGCACGCACATGCGGCCTACCGATACTTTGGTCATTGGAAGATTGCTTCAAAACTCTGTCTTTAG